TGACACCGGCTGGCCACCATTTGGTAAGTGTGTAAGTGGTAAGACCTCCCAGCAAGCTATCCTCTTATGTTTGCAAAACCAAGCCAGCACAGAAACACCGGGCGAAGACCGGCAGTTCGTTCCGGAATTCCCGCCGCTAATTCACCGACTCCCCAACAACGCAAACACGGCCGCAAAAAAAGGCACCCGGCCCGGCAACGATCCAAGCTCGCCCGAGCTTTCAGCACCCTCAAAACCTTAAGTCCCCGTCCCCCAAAGTGAACAGCTGCCCGTAGCAGCCCACCCCGCCTTCCCCCGCGGAAACCAACATCCTCTTTTCTGCCCCCAGAACCTGTCAGCCGCTGAGCGCCGCCCCCGCACCGCCTTTTCACGGGGCCGCAGGCGGGCGCTAGGGTGGGTCTCCAGGGGCCGGCTGAGGTCTGCCGGGGGAGAGGCGGAGCGCGCCGGGGGAGAGGCGGCGGGGGCCCGGGGGAGAGGCGGCGAGGGGCCGGGGACCGCCGGAGGAGGGGCAGACAGGGGCGGCGCAGGCGCGCCGGGGCGGCACCGCTGAGCCGATCGCGTGACTGCGTATTTGGTGAAAGCTGGGGGTCAGCCGGTCTCGGGGCCGCGCTTCCGGGTTCGGGGCGTCAGCCGCTGCGGCGCGAAGGAAGTGCGTGAGCCGGCTCCCAGTCCCGGCGGCCGGCCTGCACGCCCGCGCCGCCCCGACAGGTCCCGGGCCTGAACTTTCCAAGTCTGAGTCGCAGTGCGGCCCGTGCTGACCTGCCCGGGGCTCCCCGCCAGCGCGGTGGTTAACGAGTGGGCGAGGATGCCGTACGAGATGAGTAAGTGCGGGCTGAGGTCCCCGGCCGGCCGCCCCGCGCTGCCCGGGTCCCCTTGCCGTCGGCGGCGGCTTGGGGCGCCGGCCGTCTGGCGGGGTCCCCGGGCGCGGGGAGGGTGCGCAAAGCCAGCGGCGCGCCACCGGGGGGCCGGGCCGGGAGCGAGGACCAGGAAGTCGGGCCTTCCCCTGTGCTCCTTAAAAGTGGTGGCCGCCCCTCCGCAACAGGTGACTGTCTGAGACAGGCTAGGGCCCCTGTCCTCTTCCCCTCCCAGCCCACCAGGGCCCAGGGCAGGGGATGCCCATAAAGTGCCCCCTGCTGGAGGGGTTTGTTGTTGTTAGGCGCCCTCAAGTCGTTCCAACTCACACCTACTGTGTGTACAACGGAACAAAACACTTCCTGGTCGTGTGCAATCCCCAGAGTCATTGCTATGTTTGAGACTGTTGTTGCAGCCACTGTGTCAATCCGTCTCATCGAGGGTGTTCTTTTTTGCTGGCCCTCTACCTTGCCAAGCATGGTGTCCTTCTCCAGGGGCTGGTCCCTCCTGTTAATATATCCAAAGTACTTGTGGTGAAGTCTCGCCATCCTTGCTTTGAAGGAGCACTCTGGCTGTACTTCTTCCAAGACAGACTTGTTCGATTTTCTGGCAGTCCACGGTATATTGAATATTCTTCGCCAACACCATAATTGAAAGGCATCAATTCTTCTTCGGTCTTCCTTATTCATTGTCCCGCTTTCACATGCTATGAGGTGAGTGAAAACGATGGCTTGGGTCCGGTGCACCTTAGTCCTCAGAGTGACATCTTTGCTTTTCAGCACTGTAAAGATGTCTTTTGCAGGTCTTTTGCGGTAGATTTGCCCAATGCAATGCGTGTTTTGATTTCTTGACTGCTGCTTCCATAAGTGTTGATTGTGGATCCAAGTAAAATGAAATCCTTGACGACTTCAGTCTTGTCTCCATTTATCATGATATTGCTTATTAGTCCTCTTGTGAGGATTTTCGTTTTCTTTATGTTGAGGTGTAATCCATACTGAAGGTTGTAGTCTTTGAGCTTCATCAGTAAGTGCTTCAAGTCCTCTTTGCTCTCAGCAAGCAAGGTTGCATCATCTACATATTGTAGGTTGTTAACGAGTCTTCCTCCAATCCTGATGGCAAATTCTTCTTCATATAGTCCAGCTTCTCGGATTATTTAGTCAGCATACAGATTGAGTAAGTATGGTGAAAGGGTACAAACCTGATGCACACTTTTCCTGATTTTAAACCACACAGTGTCCCCTTGTTCTGTTCGAACAACTACCTCTTGATCTACGTACAGGTGCCTCATGAGCACAGTGAAGTGTGCTGGAATTCCCATTCTTTGCAATGTTATTCATAGTTTATTATGAGCCACACAATCAAATGCCTTGGCCCGGAAAATAAAACACAGGTAAACATCTTTCTGATATATTCTGCTTCCAGCCAAGATCCATCTAACATCAGCAACGATATCCCTTGTTCCGTGTCCTCTTCAGAACCAGCTTGAATTTCTGGCAGTTCCCTGTTGATGTACCGCTGTAACTTTTTTAATTATTTCAGCAAAATTTTACTTGCATGTTATAGTAATGATATTGTTTTATAATTTCCACATTCTGTTGGATCATCTTTCTTTGGAATAAGCACAAATATGGATCTCTTCCAGCCCTTTGGCCAGGTAGCTGTCTTCCAAATTTCTTGGCATAGATGAGTGAGCACCTCCAGTGCTGTATCCATTTGTTGAAACGTCTCTGTTGGTATTTCTTCAGTTCCTGGAGCCTTGTTCTTTGCCAGTGCATTCAGTGTAGCTTGGACCACACTTCTGTCAGTTTGTTGTACTGTGTTGGCTTGCGTGTAGCTTTGATGCTGGAAGCTGTGCCACTGGTATTTCAAATACCAGCAGGGTCACGCATGGTGGACAGGTTTCACTGGAGCTTCCAGACTAAGACAGACTAGGAAGAAGGACCTGGTGATCTCTTTCTAAAAAAATTGCCCAGTGAAAACCTTATGAATAGAAGCAGAACATAGATATAGTGCCGGAAGATGAGCCCCTCAGCTTGGAAGGCATTCAAAATATGACTGGGGAAGAGCTGCCTCCTCACAGTAGAGTCAGCCTTAATGACATGGATGGAGTAGAGCTTTCGGGACCTTCATTTGCTGATGTGGCACAACTCAAAATGTGAAGAAACAGCTGTAAACATCCATGAATAATTGGAACATGGACTTTACGAAGTATGAATCTAGGAAAATTGGAAGTTGTCCAAAAATGAAACAGAATGCATAAAGATTGTTATCCTAGGCATTAGTGAGCTGAAATGTACTGGTATAGGCCATTTTGAATTGGACAGTTATATGGTCTACTATACCAGGAATGACAAATTGAAGAGGAGTGATGTCATATTCATCGTCAAAAAGAACATCTCAAAATCTGTCCTGAAGTACAACGCTGTCAGTGATAGGATAATGTCCATTCGCTTACTAGAGAGACCAGTTAATACAACTATTATTCAAATTTATGCACCAATCACGAATGCCAAAGATGAAGAATTTGAAGATTTTTGCCAGCTTCTGCAGTCTGAAATTGATCAAACATGCTATCCAGATGTATTGATAATTACTGGTGATTGGAATGCATGTACCATAGGTTTCTATAAAAGGTATTTTATCATTTCATAAATAAGTTTTACATATTTTTCCATGGCCTTAAATATTTTTACACTATGGTGTTAATAAGGAGCTCTGATGGTGGAATGGTTAAGTGCACAGCTGTTAACCGAAAGGTTGGCCGTTTAACCCACAAAGCCACTCTGTGCAAGAAAGACCTGGCGATCTGCTTCCATAAAGATTACAGCCTAGAAAACCCTATGGGGCAGTTCTGCTCTGTCACATGGGGTCGCTAGGAGTTGGAATTGACTGCATGTAACTAGAACAACAACATCATCTTAATAGTAGTAAAAGTATTAATTAATTGTGTGTATACATATGTGTGTGCATATATAATGACCTTTTAACTAATTCTTTGTTGTTTTTAATTTGTTTCAAGTTTTCTCAGGAAACACTCTGCCAGGGTCCTTTCAGTGGTGTATATTTTACTTGACTTTTTGATTCTTTGGGTTCAATTTTAGAACCCAACCACCTGCATTCTGCTATTTATTAAGATGTTTGACCTAACAGGCCAGACGGCAGGCCTCTTGCTTACAGGCTGCAGAGGCTGTCAAATCACAAGATCAGCAGGTAAGCTGCTAGCTCAGGTCCTAAGAACTGGAGGTCAGATGAACAGGAGCCAGTTGCAGTATCCAGAGCGAGCAAGAGCCCACGAGCTTTGCTAGAAAATCCACCTATATTGGATGCAGACCACATCCCAAGGAGACTCTCTTTCAGCTGATTGGCTACTCATAACGGATCTCATCACGGAGGTGATTACATTATTACATAGCTACCAAACTACATTATAACTGCCAAATCACTGAGAACGTAGCTCATCCAAGTTCACACAAGTTAGAGTCCGTGACACAGGTTTGTTCTCTCTTGAGGGAGAAGAGATCATTTCTATTATGGAGTGACAAGGTTATAGCCTAACCTTTCTTCAAAGCCTCTTATTGACTCTGTTATCTGTAATGGGATGAATCATTGTTCTGGTTCATCTGAGAAATTATATGTCAGTTGGTGGATAGAACATCATATTTATCACTTGGTTAAAGAAAACCACTTGTTGAATTGTTTCTTTTCATTTGTCTATTTCTTTTAACATTCACACAAATATAAAATCCACAGTAGATCTCATATCCTCAGTACCCTTTAAGCAGTGTCTTAGTCATCTAGTGCTGCTGTAACAGAAATACCACAAGTGGATGGTTTTAACGAAGAGAAATTTCCTCACAGTCAAAGTATGCTAAAAGTCCAAATTCAGGGTATCAGCCCCAGGGGAAGGCTTTTTCTCTGTCAGCCTTCTCATCAGTGTTCCCCCGGACTAGGAGCTTCTTGGCACAGGGACCCCTGTCCAAAGGATGCGCTCTGCTCCTGGCACTGCTTTCTTGATGGTATGAGGTCCCCCTGTCTCACTGTTCACTTCTGTCTTTTATATCTCAAGAGATTGCCTCAGGACACAATCCAGTCTTGTAGATCAGGTCCTGCCTTACTTACACAACCGCCACCCGTCCTCCCTCATTAACATCATAGAGGCAGGTTTACAACATACAGGAAAATCACACAGTACCAGGAATCATGGCCTAGCCAAATTGATTCACACATTTTTGGGGGGACATAATTCAAACCATGACAAGCAGTAACCCCCCCATTCTCCTCTCCCCTGAGTCCCCGCTAGCAACTAATTAACTTTGGTCTCTGTGCTTTAATCATAGATTAAAATTAGGGCTGTGTAACTTGCTCAAAGTTATCTTATATGGACCCATATTTCAGCTCCGCTCAAACCTGTTCAGCAGCTTAGCAACATGCAAGTCCCCACTGACAGACAGCTGGTGGTGGCAGCCCATGAGGTGCACTGGCCTAGAATGGAAGCCAGGTTTTCCCCGTGGAAGGTGCGGATTCTGCCACTGAACAATCAGTGTCCTCGTTTTCCGTTGTAATACGGGTGGCTGTTTGACATAGAACTTGCCAGTAACATAGACAAAGTCACTGGGCCTCATACTTTCCCATGGAAACAATGCAAAGCCTAAGAAGGAAAAAATAGGCTTTTTCCCTCATCCTTCAGTGTTACTCTTTCTTATACAGCAGCCAGCTGCCACAATGACTGTGCGGTTGTGTGGTAATGGAGGCAGAGCAGGCAGGGAAGAGGAGCCTGGGTCACTGATGACTTCGCAGAGCACCTGTGTCATCCTGCACGGTAACCTCTCGGCTTCCTGTTATACGTGGAGATAAAATGGTAAAATTCTTGTTTCAGTTTTCCCAGTGTTTTGTTACAAACACATTCCTCCCTAACCAGTGAGATTGTAATTTTGTGTTGAGAGATTCTGGACGTTGATTGTAATTTTGGGCCTTAGAAAAATGTCATGAAGACCTTCCAGCATTGCTGATGTGAGAGAGAAATGTACTACAATTAGCCTTCCCTTTATAACTAAATTTCGAATTGGTCTTCTACTCTTCATCTATTTCCTCAGCCCCTGTGGCTTTTACCTACAGTCCTTGGCTGAGACAATCATATCCTGGTGTTTAAGCTCAAGACTCACACCTAAGGTCTATATTAACTGTTATTCTCAACAATTTGTGATCCTGTTGACCACTGTTCAATTTGTTTATATAAGAATACATCGTACAATATGTGTAATTGTCACTCTTAACATAATTAACATTAATTCTTTAATACTTCCCTTTGTATGTTGTTGTTATCTGCTTTTGAGTTGGCCCTATGGTTACCTCATGCCTTATGGAATAAAATGGACCATTGTGATTTATAGGATTTTCATTGGTTGATTTTCAGAAGTAGATCACCAGGTCTTTCTTCCTAGTCTGAGTCCGAAAGCTCCGCTGAAACCTGTTCAGCATCATAATGTCACACAAGCCTCCACTGACAGACATGTGTTGACAGACATGTGTTGGCTATAAGGTGTGTTGGCTGGGAGTCAAAGCCAGGTCTCCCATATGGAAGGTGAGAGTTCTACCACTGAACCACCAGTGCCTCCTAACTTTTTGAGGAATCTCCAATATGTTTTCCATAGAGGCTGTACCAACCATTTTAAATTGCTACCATTAATAATAGTCATCATAGGGGTTTGAAGTGGTATCTCATTTTTGTTTTGATTTGCATTTCACTAATCACTAATGACTTTGAACATCTTTTCACGTGCTTATTGGCCATTTATATGTCTTCTTTGGAGAAATGTCTGTTTGGGTCCTCTGCTAATTTTTATTGGGTTGTTTATCTTTTTGTTGTTGAGTTGTAGGAATTATTCATATATTTTGGATATTACACCCTTATCTGATATATGATTCCTAAATATTTTCTCTGATCTATAGGTTGTATCTTCACTTTCTTTATAAAGTCTTAGATGCAGAAAAGTTTTTAATTTTGATGAAGTCCAATTTATCTATTTTGTCTTTGGTTGCTCGTGATTTTGATGTCACATCTAAGAGTCTATTGTCAAAACCTAGATCCTGAAGTACTACCGATACATTTTTACCCTAAATTTTCATAGTTGGAGTTTATATATGGTCATTAATCCATTCTGAGTTAATTTTCATATGTGATGTGATATATGGGTCCAACTTCATTCTTTTGTCCAGGCCCATTTGTTGAAGAGACTTTTTTCCCACACGGAATGAGTTTTTCACCTTTGTGGAAAATTAATTAACCATAAATGTGTGGGTTTATTCTGGACTCTCAATTCTATTCCATTGGTCTAGATGTCTGTCTTTATACCAGACTGTTTGGATCATTGTGGCTTTATAGTACATTTTTTCATAGGGATGCTGAATTGTCCTACTTTGTTCCTCTTTTTAAGATTGCTTTGGATTGATCTGTGTCTTTTTGCAGTTCCACATGAATTTCAGGATTTGCTTTTCCAGTTCACGAAAAATGGCTGTTAGAATTTTGATAGGATTGCAGTGAATGAATCAATAGATCACTTTGGGTACTGTTGACACCTTAACAGTATTACGTCTTCTAATCCATAAACACAGGTTGTCTTTCCGTTTATTTAAACTAAAAAAACTAGTCACCCTTGAGTTGATTCTGACTCATGGTGACCCTGTGTGTTTCTGAGTAGAACTGTACTCTGTAGGGCTTTCAATAGCTGGGACCTTTTGGAAGTAGATTTTCCAGGCCTTTCTTCTGAAGTGACTTCCGTTTATTTAGGTCTTTTTAATTTCTTTCCATAATGTTTTCTAGTTTTCCATATCCAAGTCTTTCACCTCTCTGGTTTAGTTTATTCCTAGGTGTTTTTTTGTTTTAGACATTATTGTAAATGGAAGGGTTTTCTTAATTTCCTTTTTAAGTTGTTCATTGCTAGTTTATAGAACCACAACTGATTTTTTTGTGTGTTGAGCTGTATCCTACAATTTAGCTGAATTCATTCATTAGCTCTATACTTGTGGATTCTTTGGAATCTTCTGTATATAGGACACTATCATGGTGGCATAGTGGTTAAGAGCTTGGCTACTAACCAAAAGGTCGGCAGGTGGAATCCACCAGCTGCTCCTTGGAAACCCTCTGGGCAGTCCTCCTCTGTCCTGTAGGGTTGGTATGAGTCAGAATTGACTTGACAGCAGTGGGTTTGGTTTTTGGTTTTTTTTTTTTGGATCATCTATGAATAGAGATAGTTTTGCTTCTTCCTTTCATATTTGGATACCTTTTATTTCTTTCTCTTACCTAATTGCTCTGGCTAGGACTTCCAGTACACTGTCAAATAACAGTGGTGAGAGTGGACATACTGGTCTGTCCTGTTCTTAGGGGGAATGATTTCAGTCTTTCTCTGTGAATATGATGTTAGCTGTGGGTTTTTCATAAATGCTTTTTAGCATATTGAGGAATTTCCCTTCTCTGTCTAGTCTGTTGAGTGTTTTTATCATGAAGGGTCTCACATTTTGTCAAATGCCTTTTCTGTGTTGATTGAGAGAATAATATGATTCTTCTTCTCTGTTTCATTGATGTGGTGTATTACATTGTTTAATTTTCTTATGTTGAACCATTCCTGGGATGAATCCCACATCACCATGGTGTATAATCCTTTTAATATGTGATTGGATTCAGTTTGCTAGTATTTTGTTGAGGATGTTTGCATCTAGATTCATAAGGGATATTGGTCTGCAGTCTTCTTTTCTTGTGGTATGTTTATCTGGCTTTGGTACCAGGGTATTGCTGGCCTTTTAGAAAGAGTTAGTAAGTGTTCCCTCACAATCATTGCTATGTTTCAGTCCATTGACTTGAACTTAAAACAATAAAAATGTAGTTATTTCTACTGTCTGGCTTCTCTGACCTCCAGCTGCCAGGATCCTCAGCTGTAGGCAGTCTTATAGGTTGGCTGGAAGTCCCCCATGTAGTCCACCTTTGATCCCATAGGTATTAGGCCTCTCGAGCAGCCTGGAACCCACCCAGCTCCTGACCTCCCCCGCATGCTGGGTCATGTAGACTGGAGGGCTGTCCTCCTCAAACTACAGTCCTGCCCTATCTGCTGTGCCCCTGTCAGAGGGTCTCTCACCCCCACACTGAGCCACTGCCCTCAGGCTAGGGCATGACTTTAGGAGAGGGTCTGCCACGTGGGATGCTGGGCGGACCTTGCAGAATTTCCCCCACCTCCACCTCCCGTCCAAGAGAGCAGTAGAAGTTCATGAGGAGTTGGGATCCTCGGGTGCTGTTGTAGTCACCTTGTTTGTTCCAAGTTTGCAAGCAACAGAAAGTCATTCCTTCTTTTTAAAAACTGTGCTTAGGTTTGTTCTGTAAGCCTTCATCTAAAGTACAATAATAAATTAAAAAAAACAAAGAGAAAAATAAATTGGTTGTAGAGGTCTCACCAAGGGGTCATAGAAGGTTACCCTTTACCTCCTGGGTACTCTGTCTGGATAACAGAGTTTATGCCTTACCAGGATCATTTTTTCTGTATTTTGTTAACTTTATCATATCTTGATTATTAAAAACAAAACTAAAAAAAAAGCCAGAGGGGGGAAAAAAAGACATCATATTTACACACACACACAAAAAAACTGCTTAAGTTCCAGCAGATGCCACTTAAGGGGTTTGCCATTTGATACCCCTGGGGATCATTTCTGTAAATACCATCGACACAGTCACCTTCTGTACATGTCTCGGGTAATGAGAGGTGGCTTCCACAGCTACTATCAGCCTTTTGTTGCTCTGGAATTTTCCTTAAGACAATACTTTTCTGGAAGCAATTAAGAATGAATCAAGCTTCAGAGAAGGAGGGCTGGCCAAGTTGGGGCCTGGAGGTCGAGCTCCCTCTGCACCCCACCTGCCTCAGAGCCCTGAGACTGAAGCCTGGCCTTGGGGGTGGGGAAGTGGTGAACTTCACGAGGCAAGCATGCATGATGGCGATGCCAGGGAAGGGGTCTGAACAGGCTGCGCTTCTCTAGTAGCCTGGCCTTTGCCGATCAGTTTGTGATGCGCCCCCCCCCCCATCCTGTCATTGTCACCTCAGGCCTCCTGGCCTTCTGCAGCTCCCCGAGGGTGGGAAAAGGGCTACAGTCCAGGTCTCCAACCAGGCCTCCCCACCCGATGACCCCCTCCTGTCCTCCAGCACAGCCTTTGCCCACCACCCTCCTTTTGTCTGCCCCCCTCTCTCCAGGCTCCTGGTGGGGCATGATTCACAATCTCCAGCCTGGACATGAAACTGGGCACTGGTCTCCTCCCCCACAGCCCCGGAGATGGAGGCCATGGCCCGGGCACCCTGAAGCCCAGGTCAGTCGCCTCCCATCCATCAGCGTGTGCCATCTGCCACCTGGCAGCCTCTCGTCTCAGAATTCCATCCCAGGCTCCAGCCAAGGTAGGGGAGGGGCTGATTCGACCCCTCTTTCCTGGATCCTTCCCAGGCACCTTGCAGCCTCTGCCCTCGTCTTGGCCTTTGGAACCCTGCCCCCCCAGCCCCTGCCATCCCTGGGCTGCGGGGAGCAGCTCCCAGCCGTTCCAGGAAGGCTGAGATACTGGACACCCTCAGACCCATGAGCTGGGGAAGGCAGGAAGGAGGCAGCCCTCAGGACCTGTGTCCGTTATGGGATGGCTTATCCTGGCCCAGTCCCCTCCAGGGATTCTTGCTGTCTGTCTCCTGGTGTCTGGGTGTCCACCTCTGCAGGGAGGTTCGCTGGTAGCCCGCACTCCACTTTGGAGTAGATGCTGTGGGTGCATGCATGGCCCCCTCCCCCCGCCACCCCCAGGCCTTTCCCTGCACACCCCAGCCTGCATTCTCCGGCCATGGGGCCAGAGGGCCTGGCATAGCCTCTACCTTCAGGGATAAGCCCAGCATGGGCCAGAGGCTGGGAGAGGTGAGCAGGGCCTGGCCGGGCCACCCAAGCCAGCTGAGTAGTGAGGTGCGTGGACTGGGCTGGCGGGCGGTCTGGCACAGGGCATCCATGAAAGAATGTTCCTTCAGTTACAGGCTCTAGAGAAGCAAGTGCTTGGATGCGGATTTTTATCATGGATGTCTTGAGAGTCTCTGTATCTCACAAGCTCCCAGTTGATGCTGTAAATAACTATTATAGAAATAGGATGTGAATGAAAAGTAGAGAATGCTATTAGAGAAATCAATAAGCGGAAGGCTAATGCTTGAAGGGGAGCCGTTGGTATACCGATCATGCCAGAGAGAGAGAGAGAAAACATTTACACAGAGACCAGGAAATAAAAGAGTAAGTGAGCAGGGAGGAAAGAAACGGGAACAGACATGGGGGGCTGCTCCTTAGAGAAAACTGAATTATTTTCTGATTTGTTGGTTGATCGATTATTATAAGGTTGAAAGAGAATGTGTTCAGGAATTCTCCCAGATTTCTGGAAAGACTGGCCAGAGAGTAAAAGGGGGAAAAAAAAACCTAAAAAACTCAAGGGGAAGAAAGAAATGTTAGTTGCAAAATCAACAGGAAAAGTACTGATTGCATATTACCATGCTATAAATGAAATGAAAGTTTTTTTTTTCCAAAAAACACAGCAGAAGAGTTTCAGCTGTACTAATTAAAAATCATTGATGCACAACGAGTTCATTGACTTGAAAAACATATTCTCCCTGAAAATTCACCCATGTTGATTATCAAATAGAACTATATGGGTTGTTCTACAAAGGTGAAGCCTTAACCTCATAGGTGAACCCTCAAGTTAAGCCTTGGACTCCTGACGCCCTGGAGGAAGCCAGGTTCATGTGTTGCAGCCTGGGCAAGCCTGGATGCCTCTCATGGTCTGGGATGAGGAAACCCCTCCTTATTGTGACTTTATTGCCAGAGGAAGAGGCCTGTGGAGCTTCGTGAAGAACGCAAGCGTGTACTCTGGAGGCTGGAGCAGGATCTGCCTTAACTGCCAGTGTCCTCTGAGTGGAGCATGGCCTGAGCCTGGGGGAAGCCCTGCCCAGGGAAGAGCTGAAAGCCAGGAACCTGTCACTCTGTCCTTACTCAGCACTGTCTCCTTCCATTTCAGGTCCCAGGTGTGGTGCAGGAAGAGATGATCCATTCTAGGCAGCTGGGGACTGAGCACAACCATCTTGCACATCCATGCAATCACAAGTAAGGATTTTAACTGCTCTGACTGGTGTGTGGACCAAACATCATTCATCTGCCTCCAGATTGCCTAGTGGCCCTGCTTCCACTGCCACCTCTCTTCCTGAAGTGGCTTCTTGGGCTTAGAAAGCACATTCACTTAGACTTCCAGAAGCTGGAGCCAGGAAATGGTGAGTACTGCAGAGAACTGGGGTATTGTTACTCTAAGGGGTGAGGCTAGATATGAATTGTTGCAGGGCCATGTGCTCTGGGCCCTGTGGTTCCTCAGTGAGGTAAACAGTTGGAGAGGAGGCCAAGGGACTGAGCCCTAAGAGGCTTCCTGGTGCCCTGCTCCACTGTCTCTGGGTCCTTCCTCTACACATATATGGATTTTCAAGCTTAGAATGCCTGAGGTCACTTTCCTTATGTGACTCTCAGGGCTGACATCATGGGGCGTTAACATCCCTGTCCTGGGCCTTGGTTCTCTGTGTTGAATGACAGAACCTGCTGACCAGAGTCTGAAGACAGAACAGCTCTGGCTGAGGAGACCAAGCCTCAGCTCCTCCAGAGCCATCCTGTTCCCATCCCTGCAAACAGTTTTCTTGGCTTCCCCCAGGCACTGGAGCCTTTTCTGTGCAGTTCTAAAACTACAGCTCCACCTCATACTGTGTGATGTGGTAGAAAACAGGAGAGAGGACTAGTAGCGGAAGGCCCTGACTTTTAATGGTGTCCTGGGTGGGGCTTGGTCCTCTCTTGAATTTACCAATGAAATGAGGCAGGGAACAGTTCAGCTGAATCATGTGTGGCATCTCCACATCCATCCTTTTTGGAGGGATGCTTTTTCCTTGAGACTTTCAGGTGTGTGAGAAGCATGTTACCCCAGCCTAAATCTTCTTCCTCCCACCCATCTTATAGGGTTAGTAGTAAGTCCCTATAATTTTCACCTGCTCTCTACAGTCTTGAGTGGGAATCTAAAATAAAAGTGTTCTTTTTTGCCAGACAAGCTGAACATGTGAGAGGTGTATTTAACTTCTTGGGTTTACAGTTTCCATTGGAAGAAAATTTCTAGATTGATTTGTGTTTCTACTGAGAATTTTTCAATTTAATGGATATAAACTTTTCAAACACAGAGGAATGCCTATTATTAGCTGATGTAAGAGTAAAAATTCAAAAGTAAAACATGTTATTTCTCTTCGTTATACAAAAGGTAGCTTGGAATTTATACTTGCTTTTTAATTAACAAATTTTCCTGGAGTTTTTGTAACAGTACATAGAGAACTTAAATTTAAATTCTTATAAAACTCCATAATACTGCATATGGTTGATCTTTGTTGTTTTGACCGTTTGTCACAGGTGGACACTTGGATTGTGTCTAATATTTTGCTCTTAGAAAGCTTGCTGTAGTGAATATAAATGTAAATTTCTAAGATCCAGGTATCAAAAGTTTAGACACAATAAGCCCTTCTGAACTAAAATAAGTTAAATCAAAATGAAGGGATTTTCACATGACTTTGTAAAATTATATGCGAGAGGCAGAGCCAACATGGCCCTGTAAACAGAAGCACCATGCTATCCCTCCACAGCAAAGACCTGAAAAACTAAGTAAAACAGATACAAATGTCAGTCCTGGAACCCTGAGCATCAAATGAAGGGATAAAGAACTCAACCAAGCACTGAATAGAAGAAGAAACTGACAGAGAACAGAGAGCGAGGAGAGTTACGGAGTGGGGGTCCCCTACCAGCACACCACAGGGACTCACCATCTTGGACCCCTCAGCTGCCAAGAACGGTGGACAGGGTGGACAGGAAGGCAACTTCACGGAGCTCCCAGCAGGAGACGGAGCACCAGTAACCAGGGACACACGCCTTCGCACCCCCCACCCTTCTCTCCGCGTGGCCTCCACCACTTGTAGCGGGCTGAGGTCGCTCAGGCGGAGCAGTACGGCTCTTTGCAGCTTGGATTCACCCCGCCCCCACCGGCCAGCTCCTCCAATGTCATTTTTGTTGTTGCTGTTTTGGCTTCTTTTTTGTTTCTTCTCTCTCACCTCCTTCCTTTCGTTTCTCCCGCCCAGCTGGCACCATGTGCCATCTCCGTTCTTTCCTGCCAGGTTGTGCTGCACCGCTTGGCTGGGGAGTCACTTCCCCTTTCGCTCCGCCACGCCGCTGGGCCCCCTTGGGACTTTTTTTTTTTTTTTTTTGGTCAGTTTCTTGTCTCTCTCTACCTTCCTTTCCTTTCTCCCGACCACCTGGCTGCGTGTGCCTTTTTTTTTCCTTCCGATTTCTTATCTCTCCTCCCTTTCTTCCTTTCCTTTCTCTTGCCCACCTAGCCGTGTGTGGCGTCTCTGTCCCTTCTTGATGGGCTGTGCCACACCGCTCAGCTAGAAAGCCACTAGCACACAGCTTCCCCGGGTCCACGCCACTCCACCGGTAGGCTCCCTCAGCACTCTTTTTTTTTTTTTGGCCTCTGTTTTTCTCTCTTCTTTCCCACACCCACTTAGCTTCACGCCTAACATCCTCCCCCTTCCCTCCTGCCTATCTGCACTGCGCGCTGAGCGCGGCACCCCCAAGGAGCACCGGTGCAGACCACCGAACCCCGCCCTGTACTGCCCCCCCAGCCCTGCCATGTCGACCCCAGTACCTGCCGCAGACAACCCATCACACCCACCCCCACTCCGCTGGACCTGCCCTGCTGCATCATAGCTGAGCGACCAGCCCCGCCCACCCAGACAAGGTGGTGAGAAGTGTCATGCCCACAGACAACTAAAGAATGCCTAGCCCATCTGCCCAGACATAACTAAATAAAACAAAAAAATTATTATATAAAAATTACATTTCTTTCTTGTTTTAAGCCATTGCTTTAAGCCTTTATTGTCAGCTATATCATAAACAAGCAGTGCATAAACTGTTCACGTGTAGTGTAAATAATAGAAATCTAAATCCCTGATAATGAATAGACCGTGTCAGTTTTTGTGGCCTCCTGTGTGTCCCACCCTAATCTCATCTACTTCTTGCTTGGAGGTTATTGCAATCTGCTGCATTTGAGAAGTTTATTATTATTACAGTTATTATTGCTGTTATTATAGCTTTGACAGCCAAGTCTTTTTTTTCTTTTTAATAATGCTTTTTAAGTGAAAGTTTACATAACAGTTTAGGTTCCCATTCAACAATTTCGATACAGATTGTTCAGTGACACTGGTTACATTTTTCACAATTCGTGAACATTCTCAGTATTTCTGTTCTGGTTGTTCCCTTTCCATTAATCTAGTTTCCCTGCCCCCTTACATTCTTATCTTTTTTTAAAATAATTGACTGTTTGATCTCATATAGATGATTTTTTTTAATGGAGCACAGTACTCACAGGTGATAATTCTTTATTTTGTGAGCCCGTCTGTTATTTACCTAAGGTGACTTGAGGGCTAGTTTTGGTTCAGTATTTAAAGAATATCTCAGGGAAGCAGGTTTGGGGAGTCCTCCCAGTCTCAACTGGTCCTGTAAGTCTGTTTTTTTTGTTGTGTTTTTTAGGAATTTGAGATTCTGTTCCACATGTTTCTCCCATTCCGTCAGGGTCCCTCTATTACGGCCCAGATCAGCATGGTTGGTAGTGGCAGCCAGGCACCGTCTCATCTAATTCTTCTGGTCTCAGGGTTCATGTAGATCATTAGTCCTGTAGACTAGTTTCTTCTTTGAGTCTTTGGTTTCCTTCTTTCTCTTTCTCCAGATCAGTAGGGACCAAGAGCTGTATCTTAGATGGCCACTCACAAGCTTTTAAGACCCCAGATACTATTCACTAAACTAGGAAGTAAAACATAGACTGTATGAACTGTATATATTATGCCAATTGGCAGAGATGTCCCACAACACTATGGTCCTAATCCTTCAAACCCAGGAAACCAATCCCTTGGGGTGTTTGATTATATATAACAAGTATCCGTAAATGTGACACCAAGTCTTAATCCATAATCTATATTATTTAGTTTTACCTCTTTTGAGCTTCCTGTAAATTTAATTATAACTATGTCTGGGTTCTTCTGTGACTTGTTTTCCTCAGAACACTGTTGAGTTTCATGCATGTTGGTGTCTGTAGCTCTAGTCTACTCCTGTTGCTGTGTATGCATGTTCCCATTGTATGAATGGGCCAGAGTTTACCTGCCCATTGTAGAACTTACAGGGTTTAGGTGGTTCAAGTGTAACTTTTACTCTTGTAAGTGTTGCTGCTCTTATTCTCTTCCTTCTCTTTCCAAATCCCAAGTGCTCATGTACAACCACTCTCTAGCGAGGGGAAATCGCTGAGTTGCAGATCCTAGCCAAAGTTCTAATTGACTAAAAGAGCTGATGCAGTTTACAAACTTTCCCTCCCACAAAATATGCATGTATATTTTATTTGTTCCATCTGCTTATCTTACGAAGTAATTTTTGCTCTTATAATCAATGTATAAAGCAGTATCTTACACTTCTCCACTACTGAAAAGCCTGTGCATGTTTTCCCACTGTTCATTTATATCTCTGTGACTTTTTAGGGCTTCTTTATAAACTTTGGAAAATTTTCCCCTAGTATGTAACTTACCTTCTCTCTCATTTTTGCTGCTCTTTGATAAATTGTTGTGAATTTTAACATAATTGAATTTGTCATTCTTTTCCCTTGTGTCTTAATCTCCTTAAGTTTTTTTCTCTATTCTGATGTCATAACATTGTTTGCTTATAACTTCTGAAAGTATTATCATTTTACATTCTCATAATTAAAGCTGATCTACCTAGAATTTGATTTTTGCATATGGAGTACAAAGGAATAACAGCAACAACAAAACCAAACCCACTGCTGTCGATTCGATTCTGACTTATAGCAACTTTATAGGACAGAGTAGAACTGCCCCACAGAGTTTCGTAAGCTGTAATCTTTACAGAAGCAGTTGCCGCATCTTTCTCCCATAGGGTGGCTGGTGGGTTCAAACTGCTATTCCAGTTAGATAATTATTTGATAAAAACAAACCTTTTGCCTTCTACTTGATTCCAACTTATGACGATCCCTTGTGTTTCAGAGTAGAACTACACTCCATAAGATTTTCAGTGACTGGTTTTTCGGAAGTAGATCGCCAGACCTTTCTTCCAAGGCACCTGTACTTTGCCTTCAGCCTCCAACCTTTTGCTTAGTAGCTGAGCACTTAATTATATATACAACACAGGGACTCCAATT